TTAGATTGCGAGTCGAGTGCCTTAACCATGCCGGGCCCCCCTTAGAATATTACTCTATAAATTATATTTTACGTAGAAAGCCAAAAACTTGGTACTTTTTTTTCTGTCGAATTTTTCCAATATCTTATCATAAGCAAACCACTTAACTGTGATAAAACGAATTTGAAAAGAAAAGAAAATTCAAAGGGAAGAAGTAAAAGAAAGGTTGGTTAGTAAAAGATATAAAAAACTATCATTATTTTCTATATATATTTACGAATTAAAATTATCTATACATATAATAGCCAAATGTCTGTCTGTCACGCTTTATATCTCCTGAAAAAACATCAAAATGCTAATTTTTCAGAATGCATTACAGGAAAATTATTCATTTTTTGCAGTTCTTAAAATATCATATCGATATCAACATTGATTCATTAGTCTTTGTATGTGGTAAAAAACTTATTAAGAACAAAAAAAAATTGTAAGGGAATTTTACGAAAAAAGAAACGAATAGAGGAACGTGTTTGAGCATATACTTGTGGTTTGTATTTATTTTCTAATTTTTTTCATTTGGTATTATATGTATATATATGTGTGTGTATGTGTATGATCTTACTGTACCATGTCGAATAAATTGATTTGAATTGAATTGAATGGCTCCCTCTTTTACATTTCTTATAGAAATAGCAACTGACACAAAGCGCTTAAATGATAAGAAACGGTGTCATCCAGCGGAAAAAATCCCCTCAGATACTTAACGAACCTGGGTGTTCAGTCTCCTTTGCTTAAAAACAAACGCAATGCAATTTTTCCAATTGAGATAACACATGGAATGACAAAAGACGGTTGTAAACGCCCACTAGACAATCATGTTGCATATACACTCTGATTCAAGGGATTGAGTTGACTGCACATTTCATATTCATTCATCACTATATTTTGGAAAATTATCGTGAAATTGTTTCGACGGGCATCTGCTGGTACTAAATAAACAACGCTTGGAACAGTATTTCATTTTGTTTCTCCTGTCTCGTGCGTTAATTAATACAAACAAATTAACTTTTATTGCTACTTAGGTATTTACTTCAATTAACATTAAAATAAATACTTATTTATAATGATTTATAATTCTCTTGGACAAGATGAGGCCTAGTGGTTAGTGTGGACGGGCTCTGAATCAGAAGGTTTCATGACTCGCGCCCCGTTGCCGTAAAAACGCATTCCGCACTGTTGGTGTTCTACCAAAGTGACAGTCAAATCCTATATTCAATCAGGCAAGAGTAATTCATACTGTTAACTAGCTAATTTTTCTCCAGTCTATAAATTAAAAATTATGAAACAAGCAATATAATTGAACCATTTTTAAAGTGCCCCAGAGAGAGAGAAAGAGATATAATTTATAGCATGTATATTTAAGTCCAGATAGCTCTCTTTCTTTTCCAAGTATGAGTCCCAAAAACATGTTCGCTTTTTCAGCCGTGGGGGACATTATAATGTGATGGCCAAGCCCACTATTTGTTAATAAAAAAGTAGCCCAGTGGGTGGTGATGACTAGCAGCCTTCCCTATAGTTTTTCACTGCTAAATTAGGGACGGATAGCGCAGATAGCCCTCGTATAGCTTTACACGAAATTCAAAACAAAACCAAATACGAGTAGGTAAAAACCTACTGCATTTATAGGAATTTTATCCACTTAGGCACGAGCCTGGCATGGTTTGACGGTTATGGCGCTCGACTCGCAATCTGAGGGTTGCGGGTTAGAATCCCCGTCACCGAACCTGCTCGCTCTTTTAGCCGTGAGGGCGTTATAATGTGATGGTCCATTCAACTTTTCGTTAGTAAAAGAGTAGCCCAAAAAGTGGTGGTAGGTAGTGTTGCATAGCTGCCTTCTTTCATGTTCATCACTGCTAGATTAGAGACGACTATCACTCTCTTAGGCAGCAAAGGTAAATATGGTAAAAAATTTAATGATCTTTAAAAGATTATGCTAAGTCTACGTTCAGTTGTCCTTTTTTGATTGAATTGACATTTAATAGCGTTGTGTACGTTATAAATGAAGTAAAAACGGTACTTATGTACACAAATAAAAAGTATTAAAAGTTAACTTCTTATGCCTAAAATTTTATCTATACATATTTATATATAAGAATGTTTTTGCAACAGACCCAAATTAGTAATTCTCAAACATAAGGAACGTCAGTAAATGATGCATGCTATAGTTGTAGCTTATCATTTCGTCAAACCACCAGTTGAAAATCTCAACATAAACAGACTTTTGATTAGTTAAATCGATAAAAAATTATATGACCTTTTGTTGTTTGTATACTATTTTTACTATTGTTTTCTGCGTTATAGTTCATTCAGACCTGTGTACTTGAGAATGATCGCATGAGCGACCGAAACGTCGTCGTATCTGTTTTAATATAATACACTTTCAAATTGAAGTCGAACTGCTTCCCACTTGGATAGGTTAAGTTTTCGAAATTAATTTTGAAAATAACTTTTAGATTTATGACTCAGTAATACTTCTCAGCCACAGTAGATTATAGTTACTGATATAAATATTTATTTAAGGCCTAACTTGATTAAGCCCATCATCAGGTGATACTTAGAAGTAATACTTTAAATGTCGTTAATAGGCCTACAAACTTAGTCGGGTATTTACCTAATCTAAGACTTAGGCCTATGTCACACTTACTTTCGATAATGTAGTAATGTATTAAACTTGTGGCCAAATTTATTGTTTTAATTCTGTTGCATAAAGTACTAACAATTTCAGAAATTACTTCTCTAGTGCAAATTCTATTTAGTTTTTGTTTCCTTCTCGACAGACGTATATTAATGCTGTTATTAAAGTGCAACCTAATTCAATGTCTGTAATATTAGGCTTATTAATAACCTAATTCTAGCCTTTAACCCAATTCACAAATAACAATGTTATGTACTATTAAATTTAGTGTTTTTAAATAAAATCGTTTATTTAATGTTGTTTATTAATCACCTTTTTCAAAATGAAATCTAACCTGAAAAATTCTTAAAGGCTTGTAAATCAGTTTAAAAACGATTAAGGTTTAGTTACTCAAGTGAATTATTTACAACTTTATAAAAACAGTTTAAAGGTTATAACTGAAGTAAAAATAATACTTATGTGAGTAAATAAAGAAGTATTAAAAGTTAATTTCTTATGCCTAACATTCTAGATTTTACCTCTACATATTTATATATAAGAATGTTTTTGTTAAAGACTCAAATTAGTAATTCTCAAAGTTCTCTTACTTTCGATAAAGTAGTAATCTACTAAACTTTTGGCCATAAAATACTAATAATTTCAGAAATTACTTCTCTAGTGCATGGTCTATTAAATTTTTCTTTCATTCTGGAAATACTTATATTAATGCTGTTATTAAAGTGTAGCGTATGTAAGATTAGGCTTAATATTAACGTAGTTCTAGTCTTTAACCCAGTTCACTAACAATGATGTTATGTAATATTAAATTTTATTTTTCTTGACACAAAATCAATAAGTCCATGTTCCTTATTAATTACCTGTTTCGAAATGAAGTTTAACCTGAAAGGTTCTTAAAAGCTCGTAAATCAGTTTAAAACGATTAAGGCTTAGTTAAGTGAGTTATGTGCAACTTTATAAAACCAAGTTAAAGGTTATAACTAAAGTAAAAATAATACTTATGTAAATAAAGAAGTATTGAAAGTTAATTTCTTATGCCTAAAATTCTAGATTTTACCTCTACATATTTATATGTAAGAATGTTTTTGTACCAGACTCAAATTAGTAATTCCGAAGCACAAAGAAACGTCAGTAAATGATGTATGTTATGGTTCTCGTTTATCATTTCTTCAAATGACCAGTTGAAAATCTCAACAAAAACAGACCATTAATGAGCTAAATCTGCAAATAAATTTTAGGATCTTTTCTGATTTTTATACTAGTTTTGCTATTGTTTTCTGCGTTATTCAAGCCTGTGTACTTGAAAATGGTCGCATTAGCGACCCAAACGTCGTCATGTGTCTTTAAAAAATATTTTTCCTTACTGTAAAGCTGTAACTTATAAATCAGAAGTTTAGCATTTTGTATTAGATGTACAGTGTGGTGTGTGTGTGTGTGTGTAAAATAAAGATCATAGTGTTTTAATATATGGAATATTAAAAACACTTTTAAAATGAAGGCGAAGTGTATTTTTGTTAAGTTTTCGAAATTAGTTTGGGAATTAATCTTTAGGTTTATACTCAGTAATGCTTCTTGGCTACAGTAGATTATGGTTACTGGTGTAAATATTCCATTTGTCAGACAATGAAAAACGAGCCTGGTAATAAAGAAGCAGACGTTGTAGCTAAAAATGATTCGGCTTCAAACAAACATGTCGTCTAGTGAGGAAAACGAAACCGTTTCACAACAAAAACAGCTGAAAGAACAACTTGTTTCTCTAAATCGGGAAGAACTTTTGAGGTAATTTTGTTTTTCAACTTGAAAAGTTATATGATTTTTTATGTTTTATCGAAAAAAAAAGATCAGTGTTAATACTGCGCATCCGGTAGATTAGTGCAAATACTGAGTGCCACAAAGTATCAGTGTTAATACTGTGTATACAGTAGATCAGGGTTATTACTGAGTGCCACAAAGTATCAATGTTAATACTGTGTATACAGTAGATCAGGGTTATTACTGAGTGCCACAAAGAATCAGTGTTAATACTGTGTATACAGTAGATCAGGGTTATTACTGAGTGCCACAAAGTATCAGTGTTAATACTGTGTATACAGTAGATCAGGGTTATTACTGCGTGCCACAGTAGATCTTTATTAACACTGAGTGCCACAAAATTTCAGTGTGAATACTGTGTACACAGCAGATCAAGGTTAATACTGCGTGCAGTAAATAGCAAATAGCAAATCTTTGTTAATAATACGTGCCACAAAAGAACAGTGTGAATACTCTGTACACATTGGATCAGGGTTAATACTACGTGCCACGTAGATCGTTGTTAATACTGAATGCCACAAAAGACCAGTCTGCTCTACTGTGTAAACAGTAGATCCGTTAAAACTCTGTGCCACAAAAGATCACTACGAATGCTGTTTACACAATAAATTTCTATTAGTACTTCGTGTGATAGCGTTTTTCAAGAACAGTATTATTGAGTTTTCGCTACAAAAATTAAAGGAATAACAAATAGCTTTTTTTTCACCAATTAACCCTTCACCTAAAAGACTACAGCACGATATTTAGATTATCTACTGTATGGAAATCGATTCGATTTAAGGAAAGGTGTCGTCCGTTTTAACTTACAGAATACGTCGAATCATTATCCCTTAAAATAATCATAATTGTTTTTGTTTTCTTTTGCAGAAATATCATTTTTTTTGGGTCTCTTATAAAATGCTATCAAAAAATAAATTTCAAAAATGTAACCTAAAGTGAACACACACAAAAAATTTGAAAACCCGTTGATATTTTGCTTCAAATACGAATATTTTCTGGAAATATTTAATTATTTTGACTATCACAGCAATCATTGCCTTTAGTCTGAGAGGAGACTTGAGAATTTAGTGACAAAATGGCGTATTGTATACTTAATGGCTGTACTAACAAAAGCAAAGTGAGTCCAGGGATTAATTGCTTCATAAATACAATAACGGGGATTTTTACAGTAGGCTAGTCCTAATTTTAATGGTTACAACATTTTGTCCCATAGTATCAAGTCATCATCAAAAAACTTAATTTGATTGTGGAAACATCGACATTATTACCATAATCGTACAAATTCAGGTATTAAAATCAAGAACCTTATTACAAAAAATTACCCCAGTGAAAGTAAAATACAACAATAAATGCAATTCGTGTAAAAATTCTTATATCAGAGATAAACATTTTAAAGGACCATCACGTGTTTTAAAACATCTCAAAGAAACAAATATTACTGTCACTGAAAACAACGTCGAAATCATCCGAAGGGAACCAGATATCAACAGAAGGAAAATACCCCTTTTATATATATTGTCCATCACATTTTATTTAAAAAGCTAATATAATGTCATCTGCAAACTTGTCCTCACCATCACGAGTCTTTAGCGTTCTCTAGAACTCAACTACCTGTTTTGAATGAAATTCTTATTTGATGATGACTTGACATTATGGGTCGAAGCGTTGTATCTGGTAGAAACAGAACATGCCTACTATGAAAGTTACTATTATTGTGTTTTTGAATCAGTTATTCGGCTTAGCAGGTTCGTCATTGATCATTGGGTTCAGGGATTCGTTTCTTTCATTTTCCGGTGGATCCTTTAAGAAGAAAGATTTGGAAACACAAAATTAAACGGGCTGCCTTCACTCCAACCCAGATAGCCTATTGTGTAGCTTTGTGCTTAACTATGAAAGAAACAAACGTTTCGTATGTGTGGGTGTGTGTGTATAAACTTAGAGAAGAGATTACATTAGAGAGCTCATTAGTTCTTGATTTCTCTCGACAGACTTCGCTCTACTCCGGGTCACTACGAGTGTGTACGATTACTCAAGATTGGTTGTCCGGAAAGTTACGAGGAACTCTTATCCCTCTTACAAGATCTAGCGGGTGATGTGAACTCCAAATCATCAGTCAATCTGGAAAACAATAAAAGAAAGGTTCAGTTAATAAGTGATGGACTTCAAAAATCAGAAGTATTCCATAGACAAGGTTGGTGTTTGTCAACCGACATTTCGATCGTAGTTTCCAGGACTCATTTTCTTTATCTCATATAATAGTTTAATCAGAAATACACAGCTCTAACTAAACTGTGTGCTCATTGCTGGATTTAAATAAAGTATTTTTGGGACTTTATCAAAAGAATTTGAGGGCCGGGCGTGGGCTACTAGTTAGCGTACCGAGACCGCAAATCCGAGAATTCGTCGGTCGTGTCTCGTTACTGCATCGCACTCGACATTTTCGGACCGTGAGTCGTTGTAAGAGTAATAATCAAAACCCAAAAATTTCCGTGGACAACAGAAGCCCAAGCATTGATGAGGGTGCAGTTGCTTGAAGTACCTTCTGATTTAGCCCGGCATGGCCAGGTGGTTAAGGCGCTCGACTCGCAATCTGAGGGTCGCGGGTTTGAATCCCCGTCACACCAAACATGCTCGCCCTTTCAGCCGTGGGGGCGTTATAATGTGACGGTCAATCCCACTATTCGTTGGTAAAAGAGTAGCCCAAGAGTTGGCGGTGGGTGGTGATGACTAGCTGCCTTCCCTCTAGTCTTACACTGCTAAATTAGGGACGGCTAGCGCAGATAGCCCACGTGTAACTTTGCGCGAAATTCAAAACAAACAAACAAACCTTCTGATTTTATTAACATGTTTTAACACAATACTAACAACAACCGAATGCATGGCTTCTATTGTATACACAATTTGGAGTTTTATTCAATGGATTTCAGCACTACCACTATAAAAGGTGTTCTGGCGCCGCTGGGTTGTGGGTGGTGTTGACTAGCTAGCTGCCTTCCCTCTAGTCTACCAGTTCAAAATTAGGGACACGGCTGAGCAGATAGACCTAAATTAATATATATATTTATATTTGAACAGTTTTAATGTTATCGTTAGTTAGTCTTCTATGAAAATCACAAATAACATTTTAAACAGCGGTGTTTATTAGACCAGTAATTTTTGGGAATTGATCATAATGACATGCTCATAAAATTTACTAAGTCAAAAATCGATTAATGCTATATATACACACACACTACTGCTTACTTATGAGCACAAGAGGGCGCAATCCTTGGCAACTTTTAAGGTATTTTGTTTATAGCCGATGATGATTCTAGCGATTAATTGTGTATTATAAGCTAGCCGATGATGATTCTAGCGATTAATTGTGTATTATAAGCTAATAATAAAATGTTTGCATAATATTTAATGAAATGTGCTAACAATATTCATTTGTTGAAATACAATATTTTTAATGTATCTAAAAACTGCTGTAAATAAAGTTGTTCATTAGCTGAATTTCATTAACTAATCAGCACCACCCACCGCCAACTCTTGGGCTACTCTTTACCCACGAATAGTGGGATTGAGTTTCAAATTATAACGCCTAAACGGCTGAATGGGCAAACATGTTCTAAAATAGAATTCGATCCCACGATCTGCAAATCTGAGTCGAGCGCTCTACTCACCAGACCATGCCAAATCCCATAATATAATTAAAGAATCTGTTAACGATGGATATCTCTATTTAGTGAGAGTGTAATTATTATGCAGATTTGTCAGCCAAATACAAGGTATTTGGTGAGCAATCATCTCTATAAATAATACGCTTGCGTTTGTCTGTCAGGAAATTTTCTTGCAAATTTCTTGATCAAACGCTACAAGTCTCATATCGTTAGAAAGGCGTTTGTCCGAAGAATCCGGATTGCATACTGGCTTTTCAATTCAGAATCACTTTACATGATTTTTGCTTAGTCAAACTTTTTAATGAAACGAGTACGCTACACAATGGAACATAGTCGTTGTCATCACGTGACGACTGGCTTCGATTTCAACTTACCCGCGTGTAATTTTCTAAAAAAAATTAACATTACACTAAATACAATTGCTATGTGCTTTCTATACTTACTTAGGTCTAAAATACGCATGTGCAGTTCGTTCAAAGCCATGTGCTTATCACTTTGTGAACACGCATGCAGACGCTTTTGCATATTCAGCTAAGTTTGCCTTCATTACAACTTTACATTTACTTTACTTTACAATAATTTAGCTTCAGTTAGTTTCATAGACTGCTATGAGAACCTTTTATCTGCTTTTTTTTCTTTAGTACAGGTTTTATTCTTCGTTTTTGTAAGTTTCTTTGTTTCAATTCGTAAAACCGTGTCGTACACTGAACGCTCATAACTGTTTCATACTCTGTACACTATTATAAATACCATTACTATACTTCGATGACGAGGTACCCACTTTGAGACTAATAATGCTTGATGATGCTGTTATGTTAAACTTATATTAAAGTTTTTCTTCTTTACCCATTCAAGCCGTCTCCAAGCGTTATTAATATACTTTATTGTTTACTTAATGTGTAGTTTTATTAAATAAAGTTACGTCCGTGTAGTTTTATTAAATAAAGTTACGTCTACATGAGTTTGTATGTCTGACCGCGTAAATATTTTTCAAATAGTCCAGAATTTATCGATCTAACACATATTAACTGCAAGAAAGCATAGCTTAATTAGCGTGCGTGAAAATGATAGAATAGGGAAAATTCAAACGAAGGGCACGAAAACTACCGCAAATGTTTTGCGGTTCGCGGCTAGTACTTTTTTTTATTATTTATAAAAAGAACCAGGCCTGTATAAAATAATTCAAAACTTCTATATTTTTCAACTTCTGATTTCCATGAATTTTGTCCCCCAATGGCACGGCGGTATGTCTGCGGACTTACAACGCTAGAAACTTGGTTTCGATACCCGTGGTGGGCACGGCACAGATAGCCCATCGTGTAGCTTTGTGCTTACCTTCAAATAAACAAACAAACCATGAATTTTCCAGGGGGTTGGTAAAACCGTTTTCTTTATTCGTTTTAACTATATTGTCCCTCTGGTGGGACAGCGGTAACTATACAGATTTACAACGCTAAAATTCGTGGTTCGATTCCATGCGGTGGACACAGCAGATAACCCAAAGTGGCTTTGCTCTAAAACAAACAAATTTATGACCACTTCAATTTTTTCCCCTTGCTTTCTTTAGTGTCGGCAAGTGACGCACACGCACATCGTCCCGCCATCCACGTGAAGCCAACGAAATAAATGCCACACCTGGGGCAGGTACTTTTGCTTGAGTTGTTGCGTGATAATTTTGAAGTTCGATAGCATATCGAAATCTTAAAGCCTGTAGATATTCCAAAGAAATATTAAACGTTACATAAAATCGTGTAACTCAGGTATACGATAACTCAGGATATACGAAGTGTTCAACCATAGTATCTGTTGTTTCACGCCAGGTGACTGGAAAACGGCCTACAAAGCTAGAGAAAGTTTAGCCTTATGTTTTTCTGAACATGATGAAGATATCGACTTGGCTAAGCATTTCTTTATATCTTGTTTAACCATGTGTCTCGAACAACCAGATAGTGAACGAAAGACTCGGGCCTTCGTATATCAAAACCTTGGACTATTAGATGAACGAGCAGGTAAAAAAAAAGAAAAATGACTCTCATATAATTATTGTTAATTTTATATATTTATTTCTGTAAATAACGCAAAATATTTGTTAGTTGGACGTATTTTTATAGTGTGTTTGGAGCTATATAGTTTCGTGAATTTTATAAATAGCCTGTACTTTTGGCGATATAACAACACATTTGAAACTTGTGAAAGGTTGTGACAGAAATTACAAGAGTAAAAATTACAATATTTTGGTTTTGATGGAACTAAGAATGTAAAGATGAAACGAAGTCCTCAGTTGAGAGTCGTGAACTTACAAATATTTTTAAATATTACTAAAGTCACATTTCTTAACTACCAAAAATCTGATATTCTTCATGTGTTATAAAAATGACATACATAACATAGGTGAACTCGTGTCATGTGTTTAAATTCTTACAGTTTCCAGAAGTGTAATTAATTATATAATTATATCCTTTTTTTAATATCAGTAAAGCAAGTAACCAACAGGTGGCAGCACGAGATAAAACGAGGCTTTCTCGCTCATTAAAATGAATTTCGATTTATATTACTTATTATATTCAGGAATATTTTTATGTTTTCGTAGGTAATTTTCAATCAGCTCTCACACATTTAGAGACAGCTGCAGAGTTAGCCAAGACCGTACCATGTATGGGTAAAGGCGGGAAAACTTTATTATATCGAGAGATTGCTGGCCAATGTCACCAAGTCTGTCTGACCTTAGGATCACTGGTTAAAAAAGGAGATGCATCGGGTCCCCTATTCTACTATTACAAGGCGTTAGATCACGCATTAGTGGGTGAGTTAGAAAATAAGTTTATGTACGATATTCCCTGGACGTATCCGGTCCCCTATTCTACTATTACAAGGCGTTAGATCACGCATTAGTGGGTGAGTTAGAAAATAAGTTTATGTACGATATTCCCTGGACGTATCCGGTCCCCAATTTTTACTATTACAAGGCGTTAGATCACGCATTAGTGGATTAGTTAGAAAATAAATGTTTAATATTCATTGTATAAACTCGAACAATTCTTACACCGCCTTGAGAGACAGAAATGTTTGGTGGTGTTTGTCTAAAAAAATAATACTTCAAAGAAAATGAATTTTTATCAAATTATATAGTGCAGGTGATTTTATAAAAATTTTAAAACAAAGCTAAAGAAAATTTGGAAATACCATGAAAAAGGTGTTACTACAATGCTATCCATAGACTATTGTTATATTGTTACGTCACATAATTGCTCAAATATTATTGTCGTCTTCAAGTGTATGTAATAAAGGCATCAATAAGTTAAGTAAATAATTATTTTTATGGCTTGTGTTGTTTTTTTATTGTTCACGCGTGATTGTGTGAATTAGTTATTTAAGGATTCATAGTTTTACGTATAAAACACGCTTCATATAATCTTACAGCTAAAGACAAAAAGGCTGAAGCAAAAGCTCATTACAAAATCAGCCTTGAATATTTAGAGGAGGGGATGAACTACCAGTTAGCTGAGGAGGTAGGAATTTACTTTTGATTATTTTTGTAATATTAAAAATTACTTCTACATAAAAAATACTTTTTTATTCCAAGAAACTATTTCTGGACTGTTCATACGGTAATTGAGTTCTCAAACAACAGAGTAGGGCCGTTTTCTGTGTCCACCGCGTGGAATCGACCTCCGGATTTTATCGTTGTGAATTTGTAAACTTACCAGCGGTCACACTGGGGGGGGGATTCGATTCCCCTTGGTGATCACAGTAGATAGCCCAATGTGGCTTTACTCTATAACAAACAAAACCTACCGTGGGACGATGCAATAGGAGTCTACAATGAAGATAAATAATAATGATAACGCCCCCTGTCAAGTTAATACTTTAATAAAGTTATTTTTGAATTTTCGTAAAAAGAAAAATACATTCTTATATTTATTTAATGTAAGGATTTTAAATTACAAAGTGGTCTATTAATCTACTGAATAATTGCCTTACAACTAAATATAGCTATAACTATGGAAATATCCTGTGTTTCTGTGAGGCTAGTTGAATGTTTCGTATGAATTTTGATAACTTTTAAAATTCGAAAATGTGCCGTTTCCAGCATCTTAAGAAATACAAAAAGCTGTGTCAAGAAACTGATGATTTAGAAGGTCTCTGTCAAGCTCACCACGGGTTGGCAACCATCCAAGAAAGGTGTGTTAATTATAGTGTGAGTTTACAGAAAAGTAGTCCTTTAATGCCATTATTTTTATTACTTGACTTTCATTAATCCACCAGAAATGTAGTGTTTCAAACTCGAGTGGTGCTGATAACTATTTTATTAAGTTTATTAGATAAAAAAACAGGGTTAAGTAGACTTTATAACTGTTCGGCTGAATGTAGGAAATAGATTTAATTTCTTTGCGCTAGCTTCTTCTCGGTCACGGATCTGAGATAGGCTAGATCAGTGGTCGGCAACCTATGACCACTTATTGACCCGCGGCAATAATTTGGCTGACCCGCCAAAAGTTGGCTTCACCATAGCAACCCGCAAGGGCACAATCATTGTTCAGTTCAAGTTTCTCAGCTATTTGAGAAGAACAACGATATTAAAGGAAAGAGTCACGGCTACGGAGAATTTTAAGATCAATTTCAGGGAAAAATATCAAATTGGTC